TGTACAGATTGTACAGTAAAAGTGAGGCTTAAAGGGAACCATTATTAACATCGTTGGTGTCAGTATTCTACAGCCACTGTGTGCAATCACCATTTAATTCATAGTAAAAAAGTTCAAGCAAAAAGTCTATTTTTACTTTAATTTGACAAACACAGATGCAGTACCAGTAGAATTAATACAGTATGTAGTTTATTGTATGTTGCATGCTAAAACACCCTGGTGTTTCCCATGCATAAAATCAGTACAAGTAGAACTGAGCGAAGATTCAGTTTGATATTTTGTGGGGCACTGACGTATTGATATATGCAGAATGCAGTCCAATTAATAGATGTAGGTTTGTTGCAACAGAAAGGCTCATTTAGACTCAGTTCCTCCCAGCTGCTTTAAAAGCCCTGCACACTCACACAGGTGTTTTCACTCACTGTGTAATTAGACCACTGCTCTCTTTGTTACTGGGCAAAGAAAAAAGGAACTTAAATGTCACCTTGTCCAAATAGGTGCAATAAACTTCAGAGGGGAGGAAAGAATTGCAAAAACTGAAAAATAAAAGATGAAATTGAAAGTTATTTTCAGTTAATATCTCCATTTTGACAAGATTTTACTCCTGCTACCTTTTAAATGTTACTTGCCAATATAACAAGTGAATAACCTCATCTGTTGCTTCTGAACTGTAGGAACTGGATAGCATCTATTTGCTGGGAATCTGGTAGATCCAGATGGATCCAGATTAATTTATTTAAAGAAAATGCATGACATTCAGTGAGCATAAACTATTTACTCCTATCAAATCAGGAATCACTCCAATTAGGCTCCACACAGTTGTTAAAAATACTCTAAAATATATTTAATCTAAATGTGCAAACATAAAAGCATTTAATATTAAACACCAATCAACACCAATACACCAATAGTTATGTGAGACAGGAGCCGTTAATGGTCATAATAGATTTTCCTTTAAATCCAAGTTAAGGTTTCCTTTAAATAAATTGGTTGCACAAAACATTGTTAAGTCTTCTCCTTAAGGTTTCCTTTAGTTTTTCTCCTTGTCTTGGTCTTATACTTAAGGAATTGCTTAAAGTCAGTTAAACCATTGCACAGACGACCTTAGCCACTCAAGTAAGGAAAAAAACACAAGGTACTTCTGAGTGCATCTTAACGGCAACATGGGCGAGTTTATGCGATAAATGAGGAAAAAGAAAACATCCCGAGAAGAGTGTTCAGTGAACAGGGGAACCTGATACCTAATGATGAGTACTTGATTTGCACTATAAATCTGACCAGAGGTCGATTTATGACCTCTTCACCGGGTTTCAAACGCCCCCACCGGCTGCTGAACACAGTGGTGAAGTTCCCTTCCAAACGTTGCAATTTCCTCCAAAATTCATTGCTTCATGTTTGCTGTTATTTTCAGATCAAATTTACCTTTCATTATATTTTTTTCTTTCATTGAATTCCTCTAGAAGTACAATTTTTCTTCCCCCAACCAATTTGGTCTTTGTGTCTTCTTATCTTCTTCCTTTTTTTAATTTTTTTTTTTTTTTTTTTTTACCATCAGGCCAACTTTGTGAGACGATATTTAGGTCGACAAGAGGTAGCCTGGGCTATCACATGCGCATGTTCAAGTAAACAAATGGTCTCCATGGGAACAGTAGAATTGTGCTGCTGTAAAATCTTTCAGTTCAGTGCAGTAAATGCCTTAACATATTTCCTCGACTAAAGAAACCTTTTAAGAGATTCTGTGCAACACCCTTAAGTAATTTCCTCAGCTAGGGAAAAACATCAAGTGTCATACCTAAGGAGCAAACTTAAGGTGCTTTGTGCAACTGGCCCCAGATCTTTAAGGGCTAAGATTGTTGCACAGACTGCACAAAAGATATCCCATCACCTTCACCTTGGATTCTGAGAATTTGCTTCCCTCTGAAACTGTGATAAGTGATTCTGATTTTATGCTGAAAAGTGATCCAGTTGGGTGAGAACAGGGCAGAGCAGACATCTGGCATCAATATGGACAGGGTCTCTGCTAATCATCCCTCACTGCTGTTTTTATGGACCAAACTTTCTATAAACCTTTGGGATCTGAGCCTGTATTAACATTATTCTGTCTGCCTCTCTCCTCTTCTGATACTTCCTGGTGCCTTGGTTGTTGCTACCTTACAAGTACGTTCTGTGACTATAATCTGTCACTTTTAAAGACCTGCTGAAGCAATATATAAATAATAACAAGAGGAAACTGCATGTTTGAGTTGACCTTCAACCCACGCATGAACTATAGACTGTTTATAAAGATCCATTCATTCTCTGTGACTGCTTGTCCTTTTACAGTGCCGTGGGGGGACTGGAGCCAATCCCAGCTGACACTGGATGTGAGGCCATCCCATTTTCATTCCTAAGTCATCAAATATTGCGGCTTTGTCAGTGACTTTGTTGTCAGACACTGGACACTTAAACCAACGTTTGGCAGTGATATGATAAACGGCCTAGATAAACAAGTTCTTTTTAATCATACAAACTCAAATGACAATCAACACAGGCAACTGAATTGAAGGAAATAGCCTGTTAGCTAAGCTAGCACACTGTCATCCCGTCTCTCCGAAATCCACTGCAAAAGTTCAATTTTTTTAACGTACTTGTGGCAAAATATTATGGAGGGGAGGAGTTTCACAGGCACATGGGACATCACGGAGATTCCCATAGGAATGAATGGACTTCTGGTTGCCTTGTCTCTGTACACATACATAAGTGGAAACGAGGCATTATGATATGCTGCCAGACGGCTGGATGGCAGCTGTTGCGGCAGTATGATACACAGATGGAGGCCGTCAGTTCATAACACGGCTGGACAGACCTGTGGTGGCGGTGTGAAACACCAGTGGACAGCATCAGGTTGCAATGTTGCTGGTACCGACTTAATATAAGGAGCTGGAAAGGCCCTAGAGGGTGGGTGGAAGGGGTGGTGGATGGATCCAACAAACCCGGGACTTTCTCCCACAACTCTGGTGTTCCCTTCCCTTATCAACGTAGAGCCACATCATGATGTTTTTTTCTGAACCTCAACATGCGCTTTTGTTGCCTAGACCTAGCTTCTGGTGACGTACCAGGACTGGTAGTGGCGCCTGAAATGTCAACAGCAGACGCAGACGGCAACCTAGCACCATAATATGTAGACATGAAAGGCCACCAACAAAGCAGCGATATACTGTATGACGACTTGAGATGAGATTGTGTTGTTGAGGCAGGAACTCCTGGTTTGGTGTGGTGTCACCAGACTATCACAGCGGTGACACATAGAGAAAGATTATCATTCATGCTTATGCTCACACCTACTGGCAATTTAGGGTCGCCAACGAACCTGCATGTCTTTGGACTGTGGGAGGAAACTGAAGAACCCAGGAAGAACATGCAACTCCACAAAGAAGGGCCTCAAGCCTGGGTTTGAACCCATCTGGCTGTGAGGTGACAGTGCTAGCCACTGCACCACCATGCCACCCTGTTTATAAATAACACTTCCAACTATTTATGATTCAATGTCCGTATTTTTTATATGTTCAGCAGGCAAAACTAAGCTTGCAGTGCCTCAGTTAGGAAGCCAACTGTCCTTCAGCAGTGAAGTTCCACTTTGTGATTAAGGCTGATAAGACAAGTTCATTTTCACACACACAGCATAAACTCTGACATGTGCAGCTTTGATTAAAATAAACCGAGCTGTGTTTAGTGTGTGAACTACACCCCGGTCTCCTTTTTGGTGAAATTGTAAATGACATTACTGGCAGGCAGCCTCACGAGTTATATCAACTATAGATGGCTGATGGAGTCTGGCTGAGTCTACTTGTGTTGGTCTTGTCATGTCCAGAGCCTGACTATAAGTCACACTGTTTGTTTTTGCATGGAGGGTTGACATTTGGGGGAAATGTTAGGCCCAGCAGCAAAATTGTGAGCCTAATATCTTTTGCGTGAAGAGGCCAACCTCTAGTAAGTGAGTGTGAGTGCTATTCTGCTGACTGCACACTTCGAGTCAAAAGAAAGGCCGTACTTTCTCAGACGTGTCCTGTTTTCCAGGAACTTCTGTTGTGTAAACTTAATTCTGTGTGACAGTGATAACAAAGACATTGGACATGTTGCTGAAAATCAGACAGACCACAAGGCAGCTTTAAAATTCATGCAAATAGCTGTAAAAGTTGAACTCGTTCGCAGAGTGCATTCACCATATGATACAGCTAACATCTCCACAGCTCTTCCTCTGACCCTTCCTGCGAGCTGCCACCTCCCCGCCTGCCTCCTCCCAATAAATCCAAAGGGGGCCGAGTGTGGAGCTGACCCCCCCCAGTGAAAGTGCCATGGAGCAACTCCAGATGTGAACATCCTCCCTCTCTCTCCCTCTCTCCCACACTCTTTTCTCTCCCACTTCCACCACCACTCACCCCCCTCCTTCCCTCCCTCCCCCGTACAGCTACGAGTTTTCCATTTCCTTTTTTGGTGAAAAAATCTCAAACGCAGGCAGGGAGGAGGACATTGCACCAATGCCGACAGGAGAGTGTATCTGGCGGTCTGTGTGTGTGTGTGCTCCATCAAGGCGATGAAACAGTCGAGTCAGCATAAACAACGGCATATACATACACACATTCAGTCACACACACACACATATGCACAGATGTGCATTCACTCTCCCTTTTACTCTGTCTCTCAAACACACACACACGGATATTTTAACCCCACACACAAAACACTTTTTAGTCTTTTATTACACACACATGGTTTCTCTCTCTAACACTTTCTCACACTCACACACTTTTATGCCCTTCCCCCAGTGCACTCACTCTCTCTCACACACACACACACACACTTATCTTTCCTAGAAAGACTTTTTAAACACACCAGAAGGGTTTTCTCCGGCTTAGACAGTAAACACAAGTCCGCAGAAAGCTACGACCTCATAAACCAGTAATGGATATTTAACTGAGACCACTGATACACACAGAGTAATAAAAAACTGCCAAGCAAACATCAGTCAGTGTAAATTTATTTAATAAGACTTCACAAATGTAACTAACCATGTAGCATTTAGCCATCAATCATTTATCATCTTTTTTTTTACAGCATGTTCATACTGTTATCACCTCATTGCCGTATGTTCAATCTTAAAATGTATATTTGCCAACTCTGACTCACCAGCATCAAAGCTGAAATAATGAAATATAGGTATTTTTTAATAACTTTTCACATACATGTTACAAACTAACAATATAAAACACTAACAGCGTTATCGGCGACAAAATAATTATCGACGCAAATCATGGCAGACATGCACACTCCTGCAATACACAAAGGTACTGCATTTCATTTCAGCTTCTTTTGGGGTTATAAATGCTGACTCTTTGAGCAACGGTGATTAAAAAAAAATCATTACAACAAATGAAAAAAGACAGAAATAAGATGTAAAAATAAGTGTCATTGCGAAGTTCAACAAAAGCAGATACATGACGAAAAAAGTGGTCTGTGTGCCATGTTTTTTTTAGGTGTGTTTTTATGTGCACATAACATGGTAGCGAGATAATATCTTATCAAAAGTGCAAATGACTTTATTGATCATAACTACCATACACTGACTACCTCACTGGAAGCATAATCAGCATTGTTTTTCTACATTTTCTTCTTGCTTTTACTCTTTGACATATTTTAATTAAAATGCTTAAAACTGCAGTTATAAGAGCATGAAAACAGTACCTCCACCAATACGTTGAAATACAGACCATAAGGTTTACATACTGTATCAGTGTTCTGTGTCTTCTCTTCAGAGCCTGACCTCTACCTGAAGTGGCAATTTTTATATATAAAATATGAAGGATTATTTTTGCAAAGTGACTAGCATTTTGCGTTTCTTTGGATCAATAGCACATAACATATAAGTAATGTTATTCTTAAGGCACTCTATAAACTTTGTTTCATAAACTTATTAACCCTTTGGTTAAAGAGGAAATCTTTGTGGTGGTTCATTCAAACGATGCAGCACTAGCTCCTGGATGAAAACCGCACTCAGACAGGGACCATGAGGAACTCATCTTTTTATATAAAAACAACCTGAGAGGCAGCATTTGTTAGCCTGCGTTACCTTCCTCGGTAATGACTCTGGGTTCTTAAAAATGCTGTGACAAAGGGTGAAAGGTAATTCAAAGGGAAGGGCGAGAATGCGGTAAGTGACCGCTCTATAGGCTGCTGTTGCAGTCGCGGCACAAGATCCTGTCACCATCAGGGAAAAAGCCGGCGCCCACCAGCGAAGCAGAGCACTGGGAGCAGGTGAAGCATGGCTGATGCCACTGGCGATCCTCAAATGAGATGTACTTCCCTCCTCCAAAACCTAGGACAAGAAGAGCAATGAGACAGAGATTAAACTATTGAAACAAAATGAGAGTAGACTGGACATTTCCATTCAAATCAGTGCACCAGGATGGTCAGAACTGCAGCCATTTTTTATGTGTGCCGTTGTAGTGAGCTAACTTCTGAATAAACTTCAGTATAAACAAACTGACTCTTGGCAAGTTTTGAACTCACTGAGATGAGGTTTTGCAGTTACGGCCAAACGAGCAGTGACTAGTGACTTTGTGCACTATCCCCGTTGACTTGCTGCTAGAGAGGAATTGAGGATTGCTGGATTTAACTGCTTTAGTAAGTCATTAAATTATATTCATTAGTATCTCAAACTAGTGACTGTGACACACTTTACGGTCCCACTGACGTGTTTTGTCACCGCAGCAACTATCACCAATCGCCTTTTTTCTTAAATGACCATGGGCAACAGTTTAATGTCAATTCTACCTTTATCCATTTCTACTGATTAAACTGCATGCCGAGCTTTAGGGCTGGCTTGGAATCCAAGACAACTGAGGGAGCAAATCATGCATGCTTCAAAACAAGGCAACCACTTATCACTCATACAAAGAGAATGATAGAGAAAATCAGTTTTAAATGCCTTTAAGACATTTCGCATAGATGTATTTGTTCCCTGGAACGGAGCTGGTGTGTATAATCTGTAATTGGCTGAAGAGTTTCAGAGAATTAAGCCACGTGGAACACAATGCACAAAGCAGAGACTGGCTGCAAATCTTACGGCCCTTTTACACCTTCCTCATTTGGTCTGGCCTTTTGGACTTTTCAGTTAATCTTAGTTTAAACCAAAATTACAGGTGTGAACCCTCCCCCAAATCACTGTCTGAACAAAACAGTCGAATTAACTTTGGTCTGAGGTGGTCTCAGTTCGGATCAAACTAAACCGTGGTTCGGTTTATTTCTGGTGTGAAAACATTTTTTGGATGGTTCAGACTTTCGGACCAATTACAGGAAATTTTGGCAGGCAACTGTCAAGTGATAAGAGTAGTGTAGCGCCTCAGTGCCTAGTGTGTGTGCGACAGAGAGAGTGACGGTGGCTCAGAGCAGACAGGTGTTGGCGATTGGAGCAGAAGAGGAATTAGCAGTTAACTTGTCACGTGGTGGTAAATGTGCAGTGAAGGTTTCAGTTTGTCCATGAACAACAACATAACAAAATGAGCCACAGTAGCACCTGGGGACAGGAGGAGATGACTTTATAAAGAGTCAAATGGGAAAAACCTCACAACACCTTTCAGTTATTTTCAGAGAGGATGAGAGGGAGGAGATACAAGAGAACAGGAGAGCTGCAAAACCAATCAATGTCAAGTACAGGGAGACGCAGCTCACGTAGGTGATGAGGCCAGGACAAAGGTTTGACATGTAAAGTTCTTTGCTGCGATCGCATAATTGCAGTGTGAAACCAAAACTAACTGGATCAAGTGTATACAATGTAACAGAAATGTGAACCTTGGTTCGGACTTCCAGGTGTGAAAAGGCCCATTTGAGTCAATCTTGTTTGGAGTATTAATAGTAGTTTAAACATTTAACCTTAACCCAGTATCAACATTAGCATCTACAGTAGCACAGGTCAGTGTTATCATGTGGAGCACAGTGATGTAATCTTGCCTGTGATTGGTTTGCTGCAGGCCTCACACTTCTTGGCGTACAGGCTGCCAAAGCACTTGAGGCAGTAAGGGTTCTCATCTCGGGAGGTGAAGTGTTGACCCGCTAGCTGTGTCTTACAGTTGGTGCACACAAAACACTCCTTATGCCATGGCTCGTCCCGGTAGGTCACACCACCTTTAGCCAGGGTCTAAAAAACAGACAGGTCAAAGGTCATGTGGAGATCCGTTAAATTCACCTGTATAAACATTACTCCCCCTCGTGTCTCTCCTGCGTTTGCATTGTGTCTGTGGCTACCATACAAGGGGCAGTTGGAATTATCTGATAACTGTACTGACCTTTTTACAGCGTGTGCAGCGTGGGGCGAACTTGTCCTCGTAGCAGGGCACACAGTAGTGTTCATCCTTGTCAGGGATGAAGGACTTTGAGCCAATCGGCTGTTCGCAGCTGTGACAGATGAAGCAGCCCTCGTGCCATGTGGAGCCCGCGTACTCCAACTTCCTCGTACCTGGCAGAGAGAAGGAAAGATGGATGGAAAGAATGACAGACAGCAGTTGAGACTCAACTTTTTTGGGTAGAACGCATCCTTCACTGTCCTTTAAAGGCCATTTTGATAGATTTGGTGGTAATTATACTGAGCTATGAAATAACACATTTCAATTGCTTGAAGGCATATAAAACTCATTTTGTTTCGTTAAGATTTACTTTTATTTTAAATCAAAACACCACAGGCCGCACACTTCTTTCCCACTGCTGGAAACTGGCGGCAGGCTGTACAGAAAGGGATAATGCCATTTTCCCCTCCGTGTCCCCAACCAATCCATCTTCTATCCCTTGGCTGTTGAGTTTTTTATTACACTGCTTGGTTTACTCTACGGTGACGCAGTGGTTTGTGTGGGGCAGACATTTTGCACTAATGTTTCACTGCTCCGGGCTGTGTGTGTGCTGTGGTGTTCTCAAGTCAGAAACTACAAAAAAATCCCCAGCGAAAACATTCCAGGTTATAAGCTTACAGGACTTACACTGGCTCAAGGAGGACGATATTAGCAGTTCGGTTTGAGTATTGGAAATGGAATAAAAGTGAACAAGCTAAAATATGAAATATAGAATATATATAAATTTGGGGGGCAATGTCAAAAGCAAAATAAGTTTAAAGAGCTTTGAAAATAATTAGATGTCATTAGATGTAATATGCTTTGAGGCCAGAAAAAGACTGGCTGCTGCTACGTTTGTACTGGTTCTGGATTACGGTGGTTTGTTGTACATGAATGCATCTGCACATTGTTTGCACATGTTAGACACTGCATATCATAGTGCAGTGAGATTTGTAACAAATTGTTAAGCCCTCACTCATCACTATACGCTTTATTCCATTTCATTTACAAAGCCATACTGGGTAAACTCCCTTCTTTACATTGTGTGGTTATTTGGCTGTAAATATTCGTGTGCTGTTGTCTCGGCCAGGTCTCCCTTGTAAAAGACATCATTGATCTCAATGGGACTTACTTACTACTTTTTAAACGTCCAGTGTGCAGGGTTTAGGGTGATATATTGGCAGAAATGGAATATAATAAGTATGTTTTCTTTAGTGTATAATCACCTGAATGAGCTAATCTTACTGCTTTCATTACCTATGAATGAGACGTTTATATCTATGTAGGGAGCTGGTCCTCATTCATGAAGATTGCCATGTTGCACCGCCATGTTTCTACAGTAGCCCAGAACAGACAAACCAAACACTGGCTCCAGATAGGGTCATTTGCGTTTTCACGTTTCACACAATCTAAATCTAAATCTTACACACTGTTCCTTTAAAACAAGTTTTATTATGTTAAAAAAGCATTTGATTGAATTCATCTACTCAATTTAAGTTTCTCAGTCTTTCAATTGCAAATACTTCTGCTAAGCCTGAAATCCTACATTATGCTCTCCGCATATAGTTGAAGTTCAGTTCAGTTCAGTTTGGGACTAGATGTTGCAATCCCTGATGCACATACTTGAGACTATGGGTGGGAGTAAAAGTGCTGTCTGGGGGTCCTAGTGGGAGCCAAAGGGTTAGATGGATATAAATGTAGAAAGAGCAAAGGTAGATCGAAAAGTAAGAAGGAGCATAGGGTATGTAGGGTAGGGTTTGTCTCTTTGCCCTGCAAGTCCTCCCCTTGCAGCACAAGTTGCTACAGATGTATGTATAGTAGGTTTTCAGTGTGTCATGGCAAATAAATTGTTCCAAACTTCAAAATAAAGCTCAAATACGATGCTTTGTCACAGGAGGCAGTGACAACATCAGACATGTAGTCTCTCTGAGGATTTTCCAACAGAATAAACTGAGTGAGAAAAGAAGAGGGCCATTGTCTGGGAGACATGCAACATCCTGTGTGACCATTTCTGGCAGTGGGAGCATTGGAGCAGTTTTATCAAGGAAATAATCTTATGAGAAATCCATGTACATGGCTTTGGTATTAAGTTTCTCCCCTCCTTTTGTCCCTGACACAAACCACTTCAGCGTAGCATCCAGCTGTTAAACAACGATAAGTGTGTGTGTCTGTTTCTGAGGGTGTACATATTTTTGTATAATGGCAAAAGGATATGTCTGTATGTTTCTTTAGTTGGAGGAGAGGTAACGCTATCCAGAAATGCAACCAATTTTTGATGATACAGGAGTGTGCAAACTCCCAGGAATTTTCCTAGTTTAGATGTCTTTGATTGGATCAGTCTCTATTACAATTTTTCCTTCTCAAGGTGACTCTCTCGAGCAAAACTTAAGCTGAACCTTGTAATGCAAATGTGTGATCTTCATAAGAAAACATGAGATTATCTACAGTGGAAATAAAGGGGAATGTCACACTCTTCCTGGAATCATTTGCTGCGGAGGCTGGAATAACTGACTTGCTTATCTCTCGTTATCATCAGTCTGCTGGCAGCCCACAGGCCCTGGGGATCTGGCTTACAGACAACAAGTCAAGCAGACTGACAATTACTCTGTCACATTCAGCCCTGGCTGCTACTCAATCGTGGACCCTCGCCTTCATCTCTTTCCCCTTTCTTTTTCTAAAACCTCTTTCCTCTTCCGTATCTGCTTGATCTGTTACTTTATACTTTGTCCCCGCTTCCTGGAGTTTGCCATGTCATCATTTTCCAAAGTCATTTGCCTATCTATCTTGAAATTTGAATTTGTATACTACATGGAAAATAAAATGTGGGTTAACGAGACTTATGCTTAGTGGGTGAGTGAAGTAGCATAATATGTTGCACTGTCAAATGCATTATGTGCAAGGTATATCATATGTCACTACCTCTTTCATTTTCATTTAAATCATCTTTCTCTTCCTGAATTTCAAGATAATCTAGTTCATGTTCAAAAAAACACACAGTACTTGGGAAAAGAATCATTCAGATTTCAGAGAGCACAAACACAATGAGCCTTAACGCCTTAAACGAGCCATAAATGTTGCACCTTTACCTGGCATGACGACTTTGTCGCAGGCTACACACTTGGAGGAGAACTCATTACAGTAGCAGTCGTTGCAGAGCAGCGCATCATCCTGGCTGGTAAAAGGCTCATCTGCCAACGAGCGATCGCAGCGGAAACAGCGGAAGCAGTGCTCATGATAGTGCCGGTCCTCGTAGAAGAGCTCCTGGTAGCAGAGTGAGAGGAGACGACAAGGATTGGAGGTCAATTCATAAACACATCACAAAAAATGACATTAATTATTAGTCTCTTCCAAAATTATTTACATGTTTTACAGTTTCAGAATGGCAGCAATCTAAAAGAAGCAATAAGGAAAAGACTGCAAGACTTAAAGGAATAGTTCACCCACAAAATGGTCATTTGCAAATCAATCAGTCATGCTGTGTGACTGTGAGTTCGTGAAGAAAACTACTGTAACAGCATTCTTTATGGCACACCATCCAAAGTCCTAAATAAACTCCAAAACATCCAGAACTCTGCTGCTCCTCTGCTCACCCATTCCTGCTCCTGCGATCACACCACCCCTGTCCTCCAGAACCTCCACTGGCTCCCTGTCCCATAACGTATCCAATTCAAAGTCCTTCTCCCCACTGACCAGGCCTCCTCCTATCTCACTGACCTGCTCCACCGCCACACTCCTTCCCGCAGCCTCTGCTCCTCTGATGCCAACCTCTTGACTCAGGACCAAGCACCCTACCTGGTGTGACAGAGCCTTCTCCATAGTTGCCCCCTCCCTCTGGTACTCTCTCCCTAAACACACTAAAGACTGCACTGACCTCTCCTGATTCAATCACTCATCAAAACTCATCTTTTCAAAATGGCTTTTAATATGAGTGATGAAAAGTACTCTATAAATAAAATGTATTATCATTGGTTTTTCTCACATGCCCCCACAGAAAACAGTGAACATATTGATTTATTAGTATTGGAGTCTCGCTTTAAAGAGAGCATATGGAAGTTCCACTTTCAGTTCAGTTTAAGGTAAACCGTTTTTTTGTGGTCAGGAAATACTGAGCACACGACTAGATAAATGAAACTTGGATCACACTGCATGAGTTGTGTGAGAGTTTGTAAATGGATGCTTTGTTACACTATAGTTTACTGTTGGTAAACACAGTCCTTAATAAATCAATGTGTGTTCCTTTCACACAGTGGTTCCCAACTGGTCCACATTTCTCTTTAGTCATTAGTTCAAGGTCCACACAGTTTAACTTATTCAGCGTCATACCTGCGTTTGGCCATGTCATAGAGCTAGTTTGCTGTCTCTGTTAAGTAGCTGTCCATTATTCACTCATTCTACAGCAGGAAACAGCACTTCAAAATAAAAGCTATGACCTGAAAATTGTACTATACTTTAAAATAATAAACTAACTTGACACCAGCTAAAGTTAGTGATTACAAAAGAAGCAGAAAACAGTGTTGGATTGCTCTGGGTGAAACTGGCCCATGCAAGCTCTGCATAGGCAGAAACATGTAGTGTACCTGTGTGCATACTGTATTGTTCTTTGAGCATACTTCTGTTTAAAAATAAGTCTCACGAGTATGTTGAATTGATTGCCTAAAGGGCGCAGAGCCAAGAAAATGCCAGCTTTATTTATCACCCACTGCCCATGAGGGTGTTGATAACTCACTGGCCTCCTTCGCTAAGCAAACTATTACGCTCTGTAGCATGGCCCGTTCTGTAAACGCCACCAAGTTGCATACGTCGGTCTTAAATGATCCACGTCATGTTAGTGTTTTCCATTAAGGGAGGATTAAATTTTAACTTGATTGTGGGGAGGAGGGAGACGTTCGCTCATGCTGCATTTTTACAATGTGAGGCAAAATTAGCTGTTGGCTTATGTGGACTTAGTGGAAATTGCCTGTATAATTGCATGTTAAATTAGCCTTTACTGTGTCTTGCCACACAAAATACATGGAACACGCCTCATTTAGCGCGAATTATGTGTCATTAACATGACATAATTTCTATTTTAGCTATCCAAAGCCGTGTCAAAACATGGTAAAAAATGGCTTACACCTAATTAGGCCAGATCTTTGATGTGCTTTATCTTTGTTTAAACTTGTAATATGTGGATTAAGTTCATGTATGTGGTTAATTCAAGTGCATGTATGTACAGGAAACAAATGTTAGCACAAATATATATGTCTTCATTTTTTATCCTTTAATCAAATCTAAAAGCGATGATGTTTCAATTGCAAATTGATAGATGATTGCATGTCTGATCATGTCAAAATGGATGCCTTACCCTTGCGTCATGGCCGATCAGCTCTTTGCACTCATCGCATGTGTTTGAGAACAGGCTGTCGTAACAGGGGATGCAGTAGGGACTGTCATCTGACTGGATGTACTTGCGGCCATACAGGGACTCCTTGCAGTTGTCACAGTCAAAACTGTCAGCCATTGTAATTTTCTGGAAAGCCTGAAACACAGAAAGGAGACGCTCGGGTCAGCAACATTTAAAAAAACAAATCTAAAAGAGATGAGGACAAGAACAAGGGGACAATAGGGAGGAGAAGAAAAGGAGGGAGAGCACTAAGGAATGATTCAGTCACCTTTCCCAGCACAGCAGTCAGACATCAGTATAGACTTTCACTGCCAATATTTACGCTGTAAATACTTCGGCTTGTACCAGCAATGGAGCTGAGCTCAAACAAAACACACTGTGCAAGTGGGAGCAAGTGGAAAATGAAAGAGAGACAGAGGGAAAAGAGTGAGAGAGAGCGACACGAGAGGCAGCGCAAAATGCCTATTAACTTTTATTGCTGTGTGATGAAAGTGTGGTGGATGCAGGAGGAGGGGACAAGAGAGGGAGCTGTCATTTTGCTTTCTTTCGGCGGCTACGAAATTCCTTCCTGTTGCTGTCAACCGCTCAAAATCTGCAACCTAAAGATTAATACAAATGGAGCAGCCTCTCTCGTGACTGAGCGGGAATACACTTGCATGTGAACACATCATACACACCTGTAAATATTTATGAAGCAAGAATCTATTTTCGAGTGAAGCGCGGACCACCAACAGATACAGAAACCCCACGAAGCATTTGTGAGTGTTTGTGTGTGTCAAACGCACAGACACTTGAAGCTGTTTGAACATGGCTCCCTAAAACGCGGCTTCCTGTCAGCATAAAGATGCAGCTTCACGCACATACAGATACAGGAGGTATACAGTCTAAGTGCGGTTTGCACTGCGCAATAGGCCCCTTGATCATGACTGAGCACACAACAAAGTGACAGAATAATATTGTGAGAGCATTATGGCAACAATATCAGGTTGCCAAAACATTACAGCATGGCTGGAGGAGAGCCCAGCGATAAGTGATACAGCCCCCTGGCAGGGTGCAGTGCAGGCTATTCATTCCCATCACCCAGTAATAATAATCACCTCTGATATAATAATCAATCAAACCGTAAACTGGCCCTGTGCTGCCTGTCTTACACTCCCACACACACACATGTGCAAAAAAAGTCCACCTATGCAAGTGCACAAACTGCACACACACACTTAAACACACAGTGACACAGAAAAGGGAACAAAGCCTAAAAGCCAAATCACACAGGATCCGTCATCAAAGAAAACATTAGTCCCAGACTCTCATGTTTCATCCGTCTCAGCCGTTTGAGAGACAAAAGCTCTTAATGAGTCGGGGTGAGAAAGTCAAGATCCAACAGACTTCACCTGCTTACACTCTTCATATTTAACACAGTGACAGGCTTCCCGCTAACACAACTTCACCAAACTGCAGAGACACTCTCAGCACCCTGTGATGACCTCAAGATTTAAAGAAGGGAGTATAAATGCTCAAAAGCCCTGCAGCCATGTGTGTACACTGGCTCGCACCCCTCGACTGCCTTATCTCACCATCAAATGACTGAATGGATACATCTTTAGTATCTGATGTCTCACATTATAGCATCCATCTGGAGGTTATGGCAAACTATCAGAATAAGCAGCTGTGGCTGGCCTTTGTAACGTACAGCAAGGTGCTCAACTCGCGAGTCTGCGTTTTAACAGCGATTTCTGTACATTTGACACACCATCCATCAGGCATTGCCATCAGCCCCCATAACCACAACCTCGAGATTAGATCAACAAAGCGTGGAGCTGAAAATGAGCACTATGACCTTAATGTTATCTGCAGTGCTAGGTAGGTATGCACTGCCTTCGCTTGCCAGGTGAGAGAACGAGACGAGGCATGACTCACAAAGCCAGGAGGCCAGCGCTATGACGTCTGATGTCAGCTTTAATTTCCAAAGCAAATCAGACAGCTGTTTATTGCCCTCCCCGAATTCATATGCATCATCCACATATCCACATACTAAGAGGCTACAGAAAGTAGGTCATGAAACATCTCAAATGCAGATGTTTGACTAGCCAACATCCTTGTACCTGAGATGGATCACGCAGTGTGTTCCTGGTTGCATTATTTCCTCACTACAAGTGTTTTTCTTGTCTCCAAAGAGATTTAGGTTTGAGCAAGAGTAACTTGTTTGCCAGCAATCAGATTAATACTAAGTAAAGGAGAAGTCGCTAAAGCACACATGGGAACGTTACACTCAACTGTAAAGATGCCAAAGCTTGATTCATGAATATGTTACTTAAAAAAAATCAGACAAAGGGCTTTTTGACTTCCAGGTCTTGTAGTGTTTCCATTTCAGGGAGGTTTACTTTGAGCATCAGTGTTTGAGTGGCCAATGCAGAGCCTGGAATGAACTCCTGATGGCACAGGCTCTCACAGAGAGGGGCATGACGTCAGCACCCTGACCCCTGGGGTGATGGACTAAGACGTGACTGCATGCAGCAATTGCTGACCCAAAACCCACAATCCCAAATTCAGAAGAGAGGAGCTGGATCTGGGTCACAATGAACTCCAGTGCGGAGGCCAGTTCTCACAGGGCTTTGTATCTGCTACTGTATATGCCAACTTCCCAGCAGAGGTCCATCTCCTTCACATCCAGGACGCAGTGACTAAGAACACCACTCTGAGTTAATAATGTTCCCAAATACCAGAGCGGTGACTGAATTCAGCCCCCTGGGAAAAATGTGCGCTTCAAGGAAATCACCGCAGCCCCCACACAGGACAATGGTCCAGAAATATTGTGCTGAGTGTAATTATAGTATGGCAGCAGAGAGTGGGGATCTCTGTTTAAAATAACCAACAGTGTATTTCATTCTCTGTAATGATCCAGAAGGAGTGCATCTGAGCAAGAAACTAAAATGTATATTCAACGCAGCTATATGGGTCAGCATGACTGTGCAGAAATGCCTCTGTTTTTTTTAACCCTTGGGAGGCTGTATAGTCTTTTGAATGGTGGATTGATCAGTTTTTCAAAAGAAATGTGCTCCCAAAACAAATGCAAATAGCCTTGTGATAAAGACAGAGAGAGCAGCCTTACACTGCAATAAGATTTATTTTAAAAAAAAAAGCAATGTCATGTTCAGCCTCCCTTGCACTTGTCAGTTAGGGGTTAAGTATTGGTTGACGAGGGTCAGCTATCGGTGACATAAAAAACATTCTGAATTTGCATCCTTGGCACAAACATTAGAATTTTATGACCCACCACTACGGTTTAATGAAAATCTAACTCCCCAGTGTGTTCACATAAATTCTGAGGCTCAGGAACTATAGTTTAAGATTTTGAAAACTGGAAATCATGTGTATATGTGTAAAGCAATTACTAATATTTTGTGATTATACATGACATTTTGTTGGAACAGTGGCCATGGTATAAGCAAGATAATACTTGACTTAATGGTTCTTAGCCCTCACTTTAAAATTATGGAAAGTATAACTTATTGGGTAATACCTCCTGGCTTGATATTGTTTGTGTTTGGTCTTTCTGGGGCTGAAAACAGACAGATTTCTCATTTGTTTTCACACATCCAGCTGTAAGATAGCAGAGGAACGCCAAGGTTACGTTCTCCTAGTCATCACAACCCTCCCTGATTGGCACAAGAGGGTAAAGTTCAAATTGTGAGTAACCACAGAGCAACAGACCAATGCAAGCAAGCAGACTGCATGCTGTTGCCAGGCAACATAGTCATGCTTGGTTACTGAAGGGCTAGCAGATAGCCTGTCCAGTCTGGTCCCACAGGCAGGCCTGTTAATCCCCAGCCCAAACTTTGCTTACGCTCCGGTTGATTCCAAATGAACAGTCCGCACAGCCTGCTGGGAACGAGCCTGCCAGCTCTTCCCCCCTTTTTCCTGCCGCCCATTAGAAGAATCTGCTTGTAAAGTGTGTATTTTACTAAGGCTAGACAAAGCACTTGACGTCGTGTTACATCAACAGAGGAGAGAGATCATCTTGACCTCAGCAGGCAGATGGCCACAACTACAAAATGCCTTTTTCTCTAATGTTTCTCGCTGCCATTAAAGGTCCAGTGTGTAGGATTTAGGGGGATATATTGGCAGAAATGGAGCCATTTATATCTACACAGAAAGCATCTATGGAGATCCCCATGTTGCACCTCCATGTTTCTACAGTCACCCAGGGCGAACCAAACACTGGCTCTAGATAGGGCATTCATGTTTTTGGATTGGCCACCACAGTTAATAACCCCTCTGTGATGAGCAGTATCATAGAAACACTGATTTGTAACATAAAACTTTATTTAACTTTATTCCATTTGTTTAGGAGTGGAAGAGACCTCTGCGGATAATTCTACTCCCGCTAAAAACCTCCTAAACAATGAACACTGAAGGAATCCTAACTGTCTCATCTCACTGCTAGATATCACAAAATCCCCCTGCTCCCTTAAGTTATACCTTACGCTAGAGCACAAAAAGATTACACTAGTGTGTATAGACTAACTGGAAAATATGTACTGTGACATGTAATTCATAAATTCCACTAAAAATGTTTACAAGGGTAGGAATGTCACAGAGAAGTCATGACAAACAGACCACCTTTTGAAGCTGTATTAACTCTAAATGTCTAGCTAAAGGTCTGCAGACACCTACTGCGGATCAGTTTGTGTTTTATTACTGATATATTGTAATATTCCATCTAGCAACAGCTCCATTTAGAGTAAACAAAGGTAAACAGAGAAATACTAAATCTAACTCTAGGTGCATGACGTTAATGTCAGTGGAGCAGCTGTTGTTTTTGTCACTTGTTGACATCAGGTCAAAAAGGGACAACAGTAAGTCTATTTTTTTCTGTTTTACAAGGAGAACAACAACAAAAACACATTTTATAGCTGTGATACTGCACGGCCAATGTGTGACTGTCGTATCACCAAGATGGAAAAAAAAAAGTCATGGCGGAAGTGGTGCAACTGTGTCCACCTTGATAAGACAACATGACCGGGGGTGGAAATAGCATCACAGTCTGCCAATGATGTCTTGGCAGACAATTTTAAAACAGTTTGGTTTATTGCCAAGTGGGAAACTGTACCAAAGTATGAAGCCTGCAAGCAATA